AATCATAAGTTATAAAATTAAAACTTATTCATATCGCATTTTATCTTGTTTACAAACATTAACAAAATAATCTTACAGGTCTTACGTATTCTTTTGACTAATAAAAAGATCTGTGATGATTGAGATAAGTTAATCAAGCTTATGAAAGATGCTCATGTGCGATTACTGAGGAAACTCACTAGAGGGAGGGTTGAGAATGTAAAGAAAATAGAAGAAGATCTTAACAGAGTGCCAGTTTTTGATATCCAAGTTGCTGGTATGTAATATCACAATTATTTTTTTTTACTCAAAACTAACTATTTCTACTTTAGGAGGAATTATGACATGTTGGGTTATGACTATGCTATTTGGAGCCTTTTACTTTGTTCAATATCTTGGTTCAGTGCAAATTTCTATGAATCAAGATCAATCTTCACTTGCCAGATTTATGGATGAATTATGAAAGTTAAGGATAAGGCTATCGAATGCGGAAAGTTAGATAAACAAACTCCTGATTAATTAATAGAATTATTTGTAGGTATCTCTATGAAACTATATTCACACCCTTATTAAGATTATAGAAAAAGTCAATGCGTCCTTATATAACATAGCTTTTTGTTTATCACAAGCTTGAGAAGACGTGCCTCTTTATAATAGTAAGTTAGTAATGCCATGATCATCATAACAAGATCTTACTGATCCAGGTATTAAAAAAGACAGTGGACCCCTCTACCATTAGGTTTCCATTCAATAATAGGTAAGTATGGAGATATTGTATAAATTAACATGTATTTTTATTGTATCGGTCATGACTTTGCTAATAAAGAATTCGAGTTAAGAATATTATATATTATGTCAATATTTTCATGCAGTGTGTCTTGTATTGGAGTAAAAAAAGTTTATACATCAATTTTTCTATGCCTTGGTATAAGCTTCACTCTTAATTTGATGCATGGAACATGATTGAGTATCGAGTTATACATTCTCAAAATAAATTATGTAGTGATCTAGATATAGAATGACGCATTATCAATAAACCAGCTATCTTTCTATTGTTCAGCTATGTATGTTCCATGAACTTCTATGTCGATCCTAACATGATCTGATTGATTAATAATTTTCTGGTTTTTTAATTATTCTGATTGAATGGATCATACCAGAAATTAGCAGGAGATTATTGAGTAATTGTCGTATACATACTCTTACCTATTACATTCCCATATTCTTTTTGTGAAAATATACGCTATTCATCTGACACGTAAGTATCCTTGCTTTGCAAGTGATGACCTGACTAATTCAACTCAATATTCACTATTTTTCAGATATGTTATACATTACCAATCTTGATCAGGCACGGAGTACACTGCTCCGCAGATAAACCAACTGTTTTTTTCTATTGCTGGTTATCTATATCTCACAGATTGATCTCTGACTCGTCAATTTAAAACACATGACATCACCTCCTGAGATCTGTTATAATGTGATATAGTGAATATAGTTTATTACGTATCAGATAATCTAGAATTGGATTGTTCATATGATGAATCATAATTTTCAATATGTATACTTGGATTGAGTCATTTTACTACTTTTTCACTAATATTTTCACAACTATTCAAATCAAGATATTTTAAATTAGGACATGAATAAGCTATTTCTTCAATTATTTTATCAGAAATGACACAAAATCTGAGTTTAAGATGCTGAAGTTTAGGACAAGAATGAATAATATTGCATATTGATGGTTCAGTAATGAAATCACACCCTTCAAGATCAAGATATTCTATTTTGTGGCATGTATAAGCTAGTGTCTCAACAACCTCATTGCTGACATCATTATAGGAAATATTGAAATGTTTTAAATTTGGAGAAGACCTGATAATAGCTACAATAAGAAAATCATTCCGAAAAGCCATAACCCTGATGAAATCAAGATACTCTATTTTGAGATGTACTTGTATTAACATATCAGCATCTTTGATTTTTTCACGACTAGCCGGTATACCTAAGCATCATAAATTAGAGCATGAGTTTAAAATACAACTTATAGTTCTATCAGTAATCCAATATGCTTCATTAAAATAAAACTCTCTCAAATTATAACATGATTCCATAATTATCATTAATGATTTATTGGTAATACTTCTACAGTAAGAAATATTTAGATATTCTAATTTATTACATGTTTGCGCAATCTCACATAACCCTTTATCAGATATTATTTGATTATCCCATAAATTAAGGTGTTTTAAATTCAGGTATGAAGAAATTATTTTAATTAATATCTTATCACTAATACTCACGCTATTTTTAAAATCTAAATGAATTATATTTGGACAGTAATTTACGATAGATCTAATCAATTTGTGTGTAATTGAATGATAATGTGAAATTTTTAAGTTTTTCAATATTGAAGGTAAATTAGTTTTTTCTTCCTGCATATTAATTTTATGAAACTTTCTAACTGCATTTGATATCATTCACAATAATTATATTCAACTGGGAAATAATGTCCATAATAAATATCATTATCTTTTAACTCAACTCTTCTTCATAGTAGCAGTATACCACACTTGTACCAAAGCCGATTAACAAATAAAGCAGGATAGAGAGATCGATTGATTTCTAAAAAATATAAGATCTGTTCTAGTAATTCTGGTAAATCAAAAATATTTCTTACAAAGTGAGGATACTTACATGCCAGACTCTTTGAAGGATCAGAAATTCGATGCTTATTTTGGAGAAATAATACTTTTGTGTCTGCATCATCATGATCCTTGGATCGCCCTTTGGGCTTGCTCCATAATAGTTGCGCCATTCTCAAGTAATGTATATTATATATCTTTAATCAAAAAAAATAACAGATAATTAATTTAAGCGCACTTTTAAATCCGTATTAATAAAATAATTTAATATTTACCCAGATATTCCTTGGCAATATATTCCATGCAAAGCTAGAAAAAAACCAATTTTTGTTATCTTTGATAACTGCTCCACTAATGATATCGTATCTGAGTCCTCATCTATATCTGAATCTGGGTCTAGTTCTGAATCGTCTAGCCACGAAGTAACTGTCTTTGGCAATGATGATAAAGATTTTACTATTGATGTGATAAAAGTAAGAAGTGTGATTAGTAATTGTATAGATCTATAATATCTGATATCTCAATATTTTTTTCTCTAGTCATTAGAATATTTGGTCTATTATTCATTACACCATAATAATCTGATGCAATAATAATTATCTTGTGTCTTAATGCTAATTGATGGAGATATTTACGTTTGGAATCATTCTCATCTTCATAAATATTAATAACATGATCAGATTTGATTTTTCTCAAATATGATGAGCTTATTCCATAAATAGCTAAGAAATTATTAATAGGATAAATATTTATATTATCATCTTTATCTCTTATTAAAAATGGAAATTTGTTAGGAATTGCTTTCTGAATCCAAATAAGTAATTCTCTGGCCCGTAGTAGACCTTTCTTCATAGATACTAATGGTCTAGGTTCATCTTTTGCATTTTTCGCATAATCAGTGCAGTACCAAGAATATTTAGAATTGTACCAATCAGCATTAGATGGTTTATAATAATTAATACAAAGATTTGCAACATCTGCTGGCCTCATAGATAATATTATCATTATATTCATTAAATTTTGCATTGTAGGGGAATTGTTAATGTTACAATTCTTAAGTCTTTTCTGAACATTTTCCAAGTAAAAGAATTCTAGACAATCATATCCCTTATCTTCACGGAGTTCCTAATTTATCACTTGTTCTTTATTTGATCTTTGAGTGATATCTGGGATATATATAAATTCTATTATAATATAATTAGCATCAAGATTGCGTAATTCTTTTCAGAGCAATTTAAGATGTGATGATTGGGCTATTACGGTAGGAGCTATTTTAGCTAAGTTATATGCTAGCATATTTATCTCTTCAGGTTCAAGATTATTTTCATTTTCCTTAATATATTGAGCGAGCTTTTTAATTGGATCTCATCCTGTAACACATCTTCTGGAAGTCTGAATAGGAATTAAAGCATATGTTTGATCTTTGCTAAATTCTAATTTTTGAATTCTATTCTAAGCATGATCACAAGCTTTATAATCTTTTAATTCTTTACATATTTTTTTAGCATAACTACCAAGCTCAGTGATACTCATATGAGGAGTTAAGTTATACTGATTTACGAAATTTGTAGCTACCTTTGACATTGTTAATGTGGTATAATTTTGCGGATTATAACTATGAAATATATTTTTTCAAATTAAAATTAATTATCCATGAATAGCTATATCCAAAAAGTTGAATAGATCGTGGTTATTATGATTCTATTGGAAAATGGATGTGAACAAGACACGAGTCTGATCAAAAGTTTTAATTTATATATGCCAGGTATATGATACACATCAATACCTTGGGTCAGATCTATCGATTTGAAAATTATCAATATATAGGATATAACGAAAAAAATTTATAGCTTCGAGTTGCAATTCAGGCTATAGTAATATCATTCAGTTTTATCATTTTATTTTTTATAATGCTTGGAATAGATTCTGGTATGTTTCTATACTTATGGATCATTTTTTGTAAATATCTGGTCTGTTTTCCATTATATTAATCGGTGATATCATAGCTGGATGGGACAGAGCATTCATGAATCTAATTTGCTTAGGATAATAATAATCAATTACATCTGATAATTGTAGAAATTTGGCTAAATCTTTTATGTACCTGAAGCTATTGCGTATTAGTCTGCAGAATATTGGTCCATTATGATCAATCTCTCTTTTGATTAATAAGTTAACTACTTTCTGAGATATTTCTATTGGGAATTACTAGTTATGAAAATGATAATAGTTAATTATTACTTATGAAAATAATAAGTTTAATTAGTTATTTTTCCTTTTTTCCTCTATGTCTCTCAGAAAAAAGATATATATGTTAATAGCATTTATCTGGCTTCGAGATTATAGACTGAGAAGGCAGGATACATATCTAGTAAATTACTTCGTATATATATAGATATTAAACATGCAGAGTTTCTCTTATACACTTCTGTTTATAATATTTATACGCTCTTTTCCTATCTTGACCACATGGAACATAAAGCTAAAGACTCGATTTAGTTCCTCGCCTACATTCTTTACATGGTTAGGGGATTATCATACCCTTTTGAATCTTGAATGCATGGGTAACACAATATTATCCTTTTGCTAGGATCTTGCATAAATGGGTTTTTCTAACTAATAACCAATTACAAGATATTTCAATTCACAAAATAGTTATATGTGTCCTGACACTAGCTTCACTATTATTCTATTCTCACTTTCATATTTAAAATTAAATTCGGGAGTGGAGAACCAACTAAATTTTTACCAAATATTATTTTTTGGTGTCACAAAAACCAGTATATAGGAGTATATATAACACAGAATTTGCGTAATA